GTGAGCCAGAAGGTGACATTAGTGGGAGACAAATCAGTCTTTAATTCAGTACTTGCACTGTGGTGGAATTTGTAATGTCAAAAAAATTGTTTTGACTGCATGTTTTAGAGGTGTGAGCGTGGATGTGGTCCATTCCTTGCTGATGCAGTGCAAATAGAGAAACAAATGGAAAGAGTTTACACTCTCAGTTTTTTTAAGTCTTCTAGTTCTAATAGAATTGTAGCAGTTAATTTGATTGTTATTGATTACCAATCATAGTACCGTTCTGCTTACCTACTGTATCTGATGAGAACAAGATGGTGGAAGATAATTCCAGTTTTCTTTCTTAAAAAGGGCTACATGTAACCCAGAAATTCTGAGATGTTCACATTTTGTCCCAGTTTCCCAGTTTTCTATGTCTAGGAGATAACCAAATGTGAAGTAAGGATATGAAACATGTGCAGTATACCTGAGGCCAGATATGTATTATGTCTGGAAAAATATTTTTGGGCACATTTAAAATGAAAATTAAGAAGTTATAATTATTCAAAGTAAAGAATTGTCTAGACTATTAATTGTGTCTATATTAAGTGTATTAGACATACATCATATAATGGAAAATAATTATTTTATTTTCTTAAGATATTGTCTGTCCTGAAGTCTTTGTTGGTAATGTTTGCTTTTGTTATATGTTTATATCAGTCTCTGCCCCAAACTGTCCCCTAGAGGATAATAGTTTGAACTGAATCTTGTAATTGAAAGTTCTTATAAGCAAACATCACTTGGAAGCTATTAAATTGTGGTAGATATTGTGCAAAGGTGCTTTGTATCTGAAGTATTTTGTTTTGCAGCACATGTTGTGTAACAAAAAAACCTAAGGAAAATAAAACATATATTTGAAAAGAAAACAGCAACCAGTACTGTATGTTGTTTTAGTAAAAGGAAAAGCCAGGAACAACATCTGCATAAAGGGGAGCAATTTCACTTCTAGGAAAAGCTCTGCAGGGTTTTTTAGCGTTCTCCGAAGATCATAGTAATGATATAAGTTTACAGATTTGACTGGCCCTGATTAAAGATTACCATTTGATGCTGATGTTAGCTGTCTGATTGAAGCATTTTTTAAAAAGCTCCCATGGTTTGACTAGGCTGTAAAAGTTTCATACATCTGAGTTTCATACAAAGTAAATTGTCCATATCTGATTTTTCTCATTTAACAACTTAATATGATTATCAAATGCTTCACTTCTAAAAAAGTCTGTGAAAAACATCTGAAACAACCAAAATGCGCACAACACTAACAACCGACAGATATCAGCAGTACATTTGGAAGGGAAAAAATGTAAAATATGATGCGATCCAAAAGCTAATCATTGGAACAGAATCGTGTATGGGGACATTTTGATTTTAAGTAAATTTCATGTCTGGGAAAACTTAGTAAAAGTCAGTATTTTATTGCAGATCCCTTTGAGGCAATAGTTGTGTGAAGAATGCGATCCATTGAACTCGCTCTTTGTGAAAATAGTTTGAGATGCTTTGACTTTGACTTTTGAGTTCTTGCCTATTCTGATTTCATTTTTCTTCTTCAGTTTGTAAACTGCATTCTCATTTGGGTTGAAATCTGAACATTTACTTTGCCATTTGAAGATTTTCCACATTTTTTTCTGATTAATTCAATGATTGGTCATGCTGTAAGGTGAAGTGCGGAACATGTATGTTTCCAAGTTCTCAACAAATATGGAAGGAGTTTCTTCTACATACTGTAAGCAGACAAAATATTTCCGTAAATTATATCATATATTCTGCTGCTACCAAAATAAATTCCAAAATCTTTGATCAGTTTGCTAGAAGAATGTTATAGTAAATTCTAGATGGCCATGTTGTTAGTGCTACCAAGTTTCAGAATTTTATTGGAAATAGAAATACCAAAAACAAGAAAGTTTTGGAACTTTTGTATTGTGTTGTTCAAATCCACTATGTGCCTTTTTCCCTTGTTTTTGAAAACTCTTAATAGAGTACTTTCTAACTTTCCAATCTGCAGTATAGAACAACAAAAGTGGATGACAACCTAGAATTTTTGTCTTTGTGTCAAAAAAGATTGATGATAACAAGTTGAAAACAAATCTTATTTTTGCAGAAGTTAAAAAAAACCCTAATAATGATGAAGAAGAGGTGTAATAAACCAGTTGGGGTTACTTGCCAAACACATGAGAAAGATAACCTGTCTGTGAGACAGTGGTACTGTACTTTGAGACATGGTGAAGAATCTTGTCTGAACTACATTTCCTGGAAAGCTGTGGGGGAATGAAGTTCTATCCCGTCACTGATCAATTGTTACTCAACTATATAAGAGAATTGGTCTGGTCAGAGTCTAAAAACCAGGAAGCAGAGGCTTCCAGGGTCCAAATCCTGGCTACTTGGTCATGAAGGATCCAATGGCACCTTTCAAAAAGTATAGTGTTGTTAACACCAGCATCTGCCAGCATAGCAATTTCTACTCTGGGATTGTACATTCTATCCTTCCTAAATTTTCCCACCAATGCAATTGGTGAAACAAATTCTTACAGAAAAGGCTGGTGAAGGAATGGGCCCTCTACAACATGTAAGATACTTTGCGGTGAAAATGTAATAGTATTGCTCCTACAATTATAATTATTTTGCAGTAATATAATGTTAGATTTATTAGATGCTTGACACTATTCATTTTTTTAAAATCTGCCATCATGCAAATTAAGATCCTGTCCATTTAGTGTCAACTATTGTTAAAATCTTATGTAATTGTTAAACTAAATTGCCTTAGTTTTATGAAAAGATATGAACTTAAAAAAGAAAGCTAGAAAGCAAAGGTTAATCATGTGACCATCATGTGTCTGATCATTTGAGGATTGTAGTCTGAGGTTCAAGTTAAAGTTAGGTGTCTCTGTTTCTGTTTCTTATTATTACTGTTTTTGTATATTTTTTGTGCTGGTGAATCATTTGAAATATTGAGGACTTCAAAACATTGAATTGACTCCCATATCATCCTCAAATAAAAACAATTAGACTACATTAGCTAAAAAGTTTGCTGTACTCACAAGGTCAATGGAGCAGCTGCTGCTCCATGTTAAAAAGAGATAGTCTGCTCAATATTTTACAACTCAGATTTTAAATTATCTCTGTGTTCTCACTGTCACCATCTTAGGATGTAAGAGAACCTAAACTATTAGATGTATTTATCTCTGAGCTTGAAACTGGACTTTGTTTTTGGTGAACAAACTAACACAAATCCTCATGCTCAGAGTACTTAATACTCATGCATTGAAAATGAAGCTTGGAATGTCAGCTTGTCAAGCTACAAGGAGTTAATGGGTTCTATTGCACTAATGAGCCACTCATTTAGTCATATCAGACAGAATAAGAGCATTGCATTTCAAGAACACTAATATTTTCTGCATCATCCTTCCTTATAATTCGGTGTGTGGATAAGGTTAGATATACTTTAGGAGAGTTTTTTCCTTTTGTGCTTTTTATTTTAATATGCATTGAGTGGTATTATCTTAACATTTTTCTTATTCATCTTGGGAACTCTTATTGAACTTTATATTATCTGTTTTGATGTGACATCTGACCCCTTTACATGACTTCTGATACTGTTTAGAGGTGTACAGTATATTTTACAAGACACATCCTTGATTATGTTTTATGTTATGTCCTTTTTCCTGGTGAATAGAAGTTAAATAGAAGTTGACCTTTCCTACTCTTACTTGAGAGTTATTTTTCGCTGGTGTGTTTGTACTATAAAAGGAGGGCATCAGCCTTTTAAACTTGTTTCATAAAGGTTTATTATATGATTCACAAAGTCAATGAGGAGAGGGGATTGTTTAGACAGGGGTTTCTTGATAGGTCCTTTCTTTCCCTTTGGGTCATTTTACGAGGTCCTCCTGTTGTCGTTTGAGTGGCATTATGTGAGCAAGGTTAAAGATCCAATTTCTGCAAATTTATACTAACTAAAAAGTCTTCATGTGCCCTCCAGTGGCATTTGAATAACACACTATTACAAAATGTATAGAAGCCAGTATCTGGATTTTATCTGTGGCTCAGTCAGTGACCCCTCTGTTTTGTGGAACACTGTCAAAGCCTTTATTAAGGTAATCAACTTTGCTTCGCACGTATAACTTATTCTTGGCAAAATTGGAAACCAATTTGGCTTTTATAAAACAAGCTCAGCAGCTTAGTCTGTTGCAAATGCATCAGCAATCATCTTTGTTATTAGATAAAAAATTATTAGTTATAGTATGTAATACCATCTGCTGCTTACACATCATGTAGAAATTCATCTGCATGAACTACTAAACAGAACTAAGAAGAATTATTACTTTAACTGCAGCTGATCCACTGAAGTAGGCATTTCAGCAATAAAACAAGTAATAGGTTTATTCCATGCTAAAAAAAGAAGAAAGAGAACACAACGTTTCGGCCGTGGAGCCTTCTTCAGGTGTGGTGCTGCTAATTTCAGCAATTAGATTGGTAAAGGGAATGTGATTGTCTAATCCCCTTCAGATTCCAAACCTCACACCTGCTTTTTATATTCTAAATTATACAGTTTGAGAATTCACTATTAATGGGAAAATTAGGTTTCTCAAATATTGTAATTTTCCTTTGCCTTTCTCCTGTAGATGTGACTTTACTGGAGGCTCTCTCATCCCTGGATGATACTCTTTTATTAAAATGGCTTGAGTAGGCTAGTGCTTCAGCATTCATTGGCTGCAAAGGAACTAGAACTTCCACAATGATAAGCAAAAAGAAGAAACTCAGTGTTTCAGTTGTTGAGCCTTCTTCTAGTGCCAGACGTGTTGTCAGACAACTGAGACATTGTTTGTGGTGTAATTAACCTTTTCTTGTTCCTTTATTATGATGTACTTCTACATAATTTGATTTGTTTGGGTATGGAAATATGGTTTTGTTCTGTATCCATTTTCTTATGCTCAAATAAAAAATAAGACAAATATATATACAAAATAGTACAGCAAATGGATATTTCTTACCTTCCTCACATAGGTTGAGCTTGGACAGACTTCTGGAATTCATTCCATCAAAGCGTTCTTCACAGAAAGACCCGTTCTCGCGCTCCTCGTAGGAGCTCATATACATGACTTTGTTCTCCATTGGGATGCTGGTGAAGCTGAAGAGGAGCACAATTGTAAGGATTGTTAGATCTCAAGTCCAGGGCATTAATGAAGTCATCTGACCTTTACCCAGAGTGCCAGAGTAACAAGCACATGGGCCGTCCAACCACATTAAATGGCTTCTTACATTTCTGAATCGTATCTCGAGAAAATTATATATTGGTGCTCTTCGATGTGCTTAGACCTTTTCATGACTATAATCACTGCAATACACTTGAAGTACTATAACTATAGTAATTTTAATCCAAAATCTCAATGTTTACTTGCCATTGCAATTTCATTCTATTATTTTAAAGACATTGAAATGGACTATCAAGCATTTCTATCATATAAGAATGTTCACAGCTTTCGTTTATATTTATATTTTATTTCTTTTTTTTCTTTTATATTTATATAGCTCAGTGTTAAATAAAAAATGTACATGAACATCCATGAATCAAAACCAATACCATTTCAAAGGGACTGCATGTAGACTGATATTTTAGGACCTCAATTAAAAGGTTGTGTGCCCCAGTGTACCAATGAGCATGTTAGTAGAACCACTCTAATTTCGAAAAGGACTATGTTCTGTCATGTTTTTTATTTATGCATTTAATTTAAATTTACAAAGCTCTATAGTCGGTAGATTCAGTGTTTACATTCAGGGATGAAGCCAAAACACTGCTCAGAATAACACACAAGACATCCATTTTTGTTGTTTAAACCATTTCAATCGTTCATTTATCACTGAAAATAGAAGTCTTTCCAGTAAGTGAAACAATATTGAGAGAATAACAGGCGATATACAGAAACACAAAATCCTGTATATTGAGAGAACCTCCAGAAAATATGTAAAACATGTTTTAGCAAACCCCGTATTCCAAACACAAAGTTTAATTAGTAGGCTTGTGAAAATGGCACTTGGTATTCCACAGACAGACCTCAAATTTAGAATACAACGAACACAAACATGAGTAAGCCACAGCTCCCAAACCAATGGTATCATCTATGAGCTCACAAGATTACTGCAGAGGGGATGTTCACATCCAACATCTACTGTGCTGCCACCTAATGGTTTGAACCACTCACAAACCAGAAAGGCAGTGGGGTTTCCATTTTCTTTTTTATTAAAATGAAAATTTTTTTGGCATAGGAGTATTATAAAAGTGATTTTCATGAAGGAAGAAAACAAACAATGATTTTGATTAATTCAATGTTAGGTAAATGCCTCACTTCAATGACTCACATGGTCTTGTAGTACGCTCCCAATTTTAAAATGCAGGTTTTATCATACTAGCAATCAATAATATACAAATATAGCTTGCAGTATGATGTCTTTTCATGCAAAATGTTGTGCGTTCTACATTGTTACAAAGGAAACTGTTGGAATTTGGAATCCTTTCAAGATCCACTGTTAAGCTGCATGAAATGAAATGAAAATTCATTGGATACATTTGATCACTACATTCACATTTTAATTACTATTTAAATCCTGTTTTCTGTGTTTTCACTTATTTTTTTGCTTTGTTAGACATTTTCCTCTGATAAAGATCTTTGTTTTATATGTTGCCAAAACTGAGGTTTTTCCATAGTTTTTTCTTTTTTGTTCTGAAGTTAATGGAATTCTTAATGAGGAGCCAGCAGGCACTGCTGAAAATATATTTATCAATCAAGAGTTGATGTGGTTTGCTAAATAAATAAATGACTATAGGAATCTGTCCGCTCATATTAAAAAATACAAAAATAAGCAAATCATTTCATGAACTATACCATATGAGATTCTGCAAAGTAATAAAGTTAGCCATATTTTCATTCATTTTTGGTATTTCCCTAATAAGTCAAAGTAATTATTTGACTCATAATGTATATTTGTATTACACAGGAGCATAGGTATACTAAAGGTCAACAGTATTGTAGCTCGTAGTAGTTCAGGTGGGTAGCTGCGGTGTAGGCTGCAAAGGAAGAAGTAATAGGTTTATTCCATGCTGAAAAAGGAAGAAAGAAAACACAACGTTTCGGCTGTGGAGCCTTCTTCAGGTGTGAGCTACGCAGCTACCCACCTGAACTACTACAACCTACACCTGCTGCTACCCACTATGCCTGCCTCCAAATCTTTTTCTAGATCTCTTCGGCATATCTTTTCTTCATCCCTGGGCCACATGCCCGCTTCTCTCACTAAACCAGCATTCCGTCTCTTCACTTTGACACCCGAAGAAGGCTCCACGGACGAAATGTTGTGTTTTCTATCTTCCTTTTTCAGTATGGAATAAGCCTATTACTTGTTCCTTTGTAGTATTGTCGCTCTATCACTTCGGAGGCAGTATGGTATTGTTCATTCTTCTTCAGTCAAATTCCTGTTTTTCAGAGACATCACATATCTCTAACAAAGTAAGGTAAATATATAAATGTTAGCCCAGTCTTGTTTTATGTTTTGTTTCAGGAAAGATGCATGATTTCAGCAATGCAGTTGACTGCAGTGAAATGCTTCCAATTACAGAATCTAAAGCCTTTGCTTGATATTGTGGACAATCTGTGTTGGAGCCTTTTGAAGTCAAAGATTAAACCACTTACACATTGTATAAACTGTGCAAGACACTAAATAAGCAATAGAGTAAGCACATCACATTATTATTTTTCTGTAAAGAGATAGTACAACCCTGACATCCAAGCTACAACCTTATAGCAAATGACACAAATGTTTGACAGTCCTAAATGAAATGCCATACTGAGTGATTGCTGTTTGTGTTAGCCAAACTGTGATGTAACCAGAGCCAGGCATAGCTGGAAGCCTCACCAAAAGCTGCACGATATTCACAATATACTGTATTCTAAGCCTTAAATCAATCCAATACACTATCCTTCACCCCAACATGGATTTTCAAAGTAAAAGCGTTTGCCAACAAAAAACTAGGAATCTCTACTTTTCTTCATTTTGCTACAGGTCACATACAGCATCAATAAATAATACCTTCACATGGCTGAAAAAGCACTGTTTTTTTTATTTGTCAAATTTCTGCAATGACTTCTTCCTTTAAGTAACAGACTGAGTATATTCTCACATTCAAGAAATACATTCATTCATCCTGAGAAGCAATAAAAAAGTATCAAACTCCAATGCAAGTGCTGATGAAACATGGATTTACTGTCCCCTTAAAAGTGTAGAGACAGTGTTACCAAAGTCTACGTCATTTTCCAATGGTCTCCTTTAGTCCCCTTTTCTATTCTTTATTCCAAAGAAACTAAAGAGGAATTTAATTGTCATAGAGTCAATATATTATGAGTAATCCATAAAAATGAATAGTATTTTTGTTATACATCTTTAAAAACAATAGAACATTTAATAATATATACTTAATAATGAAAAATGCATTTTGAATAAAGGCAATGAATTCACCTAGAGTATTATGGTACTTATCAGTAATCTTATGGACCTTTTCTAAATTTGTATTAAATACCACCAAGTCTTCAGACAGTTACGAAACCATCACAGCAGTGTACTACAGATGTCATTGTCTCAATCTGAAATTATGATTTAAACCCCAGAAATCCAGGGAATGACAGATTATAATGGAAGCTGATGTTTTGACTGAAATGAGAGCGATTCTAGAATTCTGGGTGTTGTCTAGATCCTCAACAAGAGGTTTTCACGTCCTTCTTTCTTTTTTTGACTGGTTCATCATTGCCCACCTACTGGATGAACTTTTTGAAGCTGCACAGAACATTTTATTTTAGTTTCCTGAGGTTGAACCTAAAAAATCCTACAATCAGAGTACTGCACCAGTGTGGCTTCAAAGGATAAAATTATCTTTTTAATTGCAGTGACCCGCACATAAAAAGCTGCCTCTGAATAATGTAATTTGAGGCCTTGTCAAAGCACAGAATAAATCCACAGAGAGAATTGTTCATGAACTGGCATAAGATTAGATTTGCTGCCACAGATACTGAGAATTTCAGTCTCAACCAATCTAGGGCTTGCTGTCTCTACTGCCACCTATAGTATGCGCAGAATTGTAGTCTACCACCTTACATGTACTGTACATGGCTTTCATTCACTCCATGTTTACGATTCTGTGATTGAACATTCTATGTTTGATGTTCCTCAAACAGACTTAATCAAACAAAGTTCGCCCACCAATACATCTGTGATTGAAGAAATATGCAACAGTGCTTAAGTTTCCTTTCAGTTTGGGAATTTTGGCAACCTTGATTTTACAACCAGAGCTTTCATTTACTATGCCAGGTGAGGAAAAAAACTAAATATGAAGTATTCTGTTATTTTATATTCAATGCCTCATTACATTAATCAGAATTTGACCAATCCTCTGAAATTAATTTGTAAAAACAGAAGTTAGGGAGGAGTTCAAATTGTATCTTTGTACTTCTGCAGTCTTGCAGGACTTGGCTCCACTGCTTTTTAGTCAACTTAAGTTGTTGATCCATCATACTGCTGGCACAGAGATTCTGGACTCTTGATAAAAAGGGAATGTTTCTTCTTGTCTTTGTGTTTCTTCTCATTTATACTAGGTTTAACATTCAATAAGTTAAATCATCTCATCACCTAAACCCAATCTACTCTGTTTTTAATTAGGTGATTTATTCATCAAAGTCACTTATTTGTATTGTGGCCAGTCATGATATCAAATTCACAGACAAAAACATTAAATCAATATCCAAAATCTGTATGCGTTCATCCATTTTCTAAACCTTATCTTATGCAGGGTGGCAGGAGACCACCATAGCCTAACCTGGCAAGCACAAGGCATAGTACGGGCACAAGGCATAGTACACCCTGCATGGGAAGCCAGTCCATAGCTGGGCACACACACACTCATACTGGGGCATGTTTCTACAGACGCCAGATAAGGTACCTGTCACGCCCTCTGTAGCCAGAGGGCGCTCCTTCTCTGTCCTGTCCCTAGTTTCCGGTCTTCTGTCCTTCCTGTCCCTCTCTTTCCCTTGGGCTATTTATTTCCGGGTCTTGCACTCTGTCCTCGCTCAGCAATGACGTTCAGATGTCCTGAGACCAGCATAGCACCAGGGCGCCCCACGTCCGCTCTCTGAGGGCATAGGTTTCTATACGGCATTCTTGAACTCTTTGCACTAATGAGCCCGGGCCTTTTTCCCGTCTCGCCGCTACGCATATGGGTCTTTTTCCGCTCTCCTGCTCCCCACGGTTAGTCCCTTTGGACATCCGTGACAGTACCAGTACATCTTTGGACTGTGGGAGGAAACCAGAGCACCTGGAGGAAACGAACATGGGAAGAACAAGCAAACTCCACACAGATAGCACCCCAGAAACTGAACCCAGAACCCCAGTGCTGTAAGGCAGCAATGCCCACCACTGCACCATCATGCCTCACATCTACTTTATTTTCAAAAATCATGCATGATTTGAGCATACTATAGTACTGTATATGTAAACACATATAAAAGTATATATACTTTTGCATAATGTATATAAAAAGTATATATAAACACAAGCACATGTATAAAGGTGCTTGTTACACTATTTTATATTTTGTCAGTAATATCTCTTCTGCATGAATTCAATACATACTCATCCTAGCAATACCAGTGTTAGACGGTTCAAGTGAATCAGCTCATTTAAGATAGAACGTGCCTATAGTAATTCCCAAAATTGTTTACTTCAAATTGGTAGAAAAACCCATGAAATTGAAAGCACATTGCAAGCTTGAATGCTGATTGTGATACCATACATTTCACTTTACACCATATTCATTTAATTCTTTCTGGCAGTGAAGTGACCTTGGGCCAGGTGGCATTGTAGGCTCATTGCAGCAGACTGCAGTCACATTCTAAGGTCTGCTTTCAGTCTTGAATCCAGTAACCATCTGTTCAGCTTACATTTTGTTTCACAATCTTCCATACCCTAGCACTTTCCAGAAGAGAGTAAGAGGGATAGGAAAAGAGTACAATAGTCAGGAGTATGTTGCCTCCTAATAGAAATTATACTGTATATTATATTAGGATATATACATTAGGAATGGGTATGCATTTCTTTTGTTTTTGTTTTTTTAATGCTGTGCACGTTTTACTACTGATGACAGGTTATCAGGATAACAGGTTATCACATTAGGGCTATTATAGTACATAACCCTCAGGACAGTTTTTGAAAGCATGTTGATACTGTACAATTGATTGACCGTTCTATTAAATTAATTGAATTATTGATACAATGCTCTTCTCTTCACTTTACCTACTGTATGTGACCATACACACAAAATTCCAAAATAAATTTATATCCCATAAAGACCTGTTGCCTTTTTTATTTGACAAATATGGAAATATTTAAATGCATAGAAAAGTCACTTTTTCTTCTTTAAAATATCTTATTGCATATGTATAGCTTGGTTCTAAATCAAATATTCTGTATACGAAATGCGGACAATAGCAAGACAAGGCACAACACAGGAATTAAAAAGTAAATACCGCGTATACTGAACAGCAGGACAATTAAAAGAGAGTTTCTTTCGCATTCAATTACAATTGTAGACGCATATTACAACGAAATAGCAATCACCACTCCCTACACACACACACAAAAGTCTGGATCTTTCAGTGTTGTAAAGTTTCGTTATGATTGATATTCATCCACCTAACATAACGTAATCAAAGAACTGCCTACACCAGAGATAACTAATAATTATGTAGAACGAAGAAACTAGAAATGAAAGTGGGTGAAACAACTATAAAGAGCCTTCCCTGTTGTAAAGTAGTAACATTATTTAACAGGCTGAATGTTCACCTTTGTCTAGTTTTTACAATAACCCCTGGCTCTGACACTTACAAATATACTGTAACAGGTTCGAGTTTTTATTTTGAAAAGGGTTTTCAAACACAAGAAAAAATAGTTAAAACGCTGTTTTAACTTTTCACTTTTGGTCTATCTACTTTTTACAATAACTCCCACAGGCTATGACACTTACCTTGTCAGTTCAAAAACTGACTGATTAATCCACTGAGCGCTCTTTCCCGATGTAGTTTTTAACACATCATGTCAGGATTGTCCGCTTTCCAGTGCTTTCTCCAGAAAACAAATTGATAGAATAATTTAAAATAACCTGTTACCCGTCAAAAAAACAAACACTTCACGCCTTTTATTCCACCAAATTCGTTTTTTGGGAGAAATGCTAAATAAATGCTAAACGAAGTGAGTAAAAATGTCACATGCATGAAAAAGTACTGCATAAATTCTTGAGCATATTAACACTTTGTTGACTAGGCGTACTGTAGTAAGCCATTCATGGAGAGTGTTTTGTCAGTACTGTAAGTGTAAGACGTTTATCATCGGGAGGGCGATTCTAATTAAAGTCATACGTATTTACTACATTGTATAGATCCTAGTTCGCCAGCCCTAAAGGCAGTCTAGATATATTCTGTATTTTGAGTGAAAAGTTTGCATTTACTGAAGGCGCCCTCCTGTGGTTATGTTAGCTGCGCTTTAATTCTTCCAGTCCGATGTTTTCGGTAACACATTGGGCAATGTTAAAACTCGTGAAACGACAGAATGAAGGAAGCAGAGTCTGAATCACGAACATTTTTGCTTTTACTTAGGCAATAGTAAAGAACAAACGTGTAACCAGCACTTTAAACTTAAACTGTATATGTGAAGGGGTTATTCACGAATTTCTGTCTAAAAAATGCTTATGTAACTTTGTTAGCAAAATAGCCTTTTCAGCACACTGACAAAGTTCCCAGGGTCTAACAGTGAATTATTTCATTATGACAGTAAACATTTCAAGGTTATACTCTTAAAACTATGTATTCCTGTTGATATGTATAATATTAAATTACTAATCCATAGGGTATAGTGTGACCAACCCACACATTATGCCCTGTGCTTAGATATAGCAGTGCCCTTGATAAAAGGGGTGAAAATCAGAGAAAGCTGTGAAGCCCATGATTCAGCTCCTTTAAACCTCACAGCAACTTCAAGCCAGCAATCAGAGCAACATACTGTATTTACAGCAAGTCATTTCAAGATACAGTATCAACTTAATTGTTGTGTAATTATGTCAGAGTTTCAGTTTTTCTTTAATGTCTTTTAAACTTGGTAATTTAATCATAAAATAGCCTTAAAATTTCAGGCTTGGATAATATGTTAAATTTTCAGAGTTAACTGTCAGACCAAAAAAGCAATTAAGGCCTTGAATGGAAAACTACAATAGAAATTGAGTCTGACACCCATGTGTGGCTTATGTGTACCTACTGCTCAAGGAATTTATCAGAAGAGGGTTTTATTTTACAAAGAAATGCAGTGAAGATTACAGGAGGGGTTGTGCTTTCACACAAAATGGCAAGAGACCCGTGAATGAATTTGTAAAGATTTGTTGGCTCAACAAGCACAGCAGGGTTCTCAAAATAATCCAGGCTGAAATGAAGGAAGAACTGGATTTGAATGTTCAGTCAACCTGGAAGACTGAGTTACTCTGTGTCCCACTAGAGTTGTTTTTGGAAGACAATTTGGAAGTTTATCATATTATAAGGTCACTGCTCTGAACACTAGGAAAGTTTTTTGTATACCATTTGTGTAGATGTCAGAATACTCATTCCAAAGGAAAGGATCCACCAGTCCAAACGTACATACACAATTCAAAGAAAGTGCTATAGTGAGTATTCATTATCCTAATAGTAAATTTCTAAAGTTCACTTGATACCTGTGGAGCTGGTGCTCTGTGGCATACTCCACAGATGTACTGTACCGTATATTCAGCTGTAGAGAAGCATGTCACACAACTGTTTCAACACATCTGTTGGGATGTTACTACTTTAGTACTTCAAGCACTCCAGACTTCTGAGGTTTGTAACTTTACGTTTGAAGATTTCTTGGTCAATTACAAATATCAGCGTTTCATCCCATCTTCCATCTTTCTCTCCATGTTACTGTATGTTGTTATATATGGCTCTTGTGAGTTCCTCCCACATTTTTCAAACACATTTTCTGATTCCTTACACAGCTCTGCCATCGGCACTGCACTCACTGATCCTAGTCAGATTAGATTTTGCATGGATGGATTTGAAGAAAGGTACTCATTGCATTCCCACAATTCCAATTTTTTTCTTTGCAGTTCTGCTGCTAAAAATAATGATATAGTAGATTCAGAAACTTCTCATTTAAATGTGAACTAGTCAATTAAGTACTGTGTGCATTCATTATCCATTGAAGTACTGTAGGAATGGTTGAGCAGCCAAACGTACTGCATTTTCTGGTCACAGGCTTATCTCCTGATGTAGATTCATATACCACTTCTAATGTGTTTTTACCCCAGTATTAACAGATTGCGTGTAAAATAAATGTTATCAGCTTACCACTTTTACAGATGCATTTGAATGGTAAATGTTAATACCTGTTATTTCCAGTTAAACCTCTTAAAATTACAATTTTGGTTTTAAATATTGCAGAATTAAGGTTATTTTATTAATTATTATAGTTGGTTTAATTATTTGAGAAGGAAGATAACATCAGCATGGAAAGTTTGTTCTGTGTATTTTACAACATACAGGAAATACACCAGTCATCCACATACAGTACATACAGTACTTGTATTTTCTCTTGGGAAATTTGCCTCTAATCCTCTAAGCAGTCAACAATATTTTACAGTAGCATAGATTAGCAATCATGCTACCATATCACCCAGCTCACAAATTCCTGCAAACACCCCTGTTTTGGGGGTTACCTAATGGCCTCCTCATTTAACTGCTTCCAAAGATACTTTACAGGGCCATTCAAATAGTTTTTTATGTGAAATGTGATTTTCAATGTACTAAATGTTCTTCATCGTCATTCTTCTCTATAGTATTCTGATCTGAACACATCACTAAGGTTCACAAACAGGAAAAAAAATTGCTGACTTTTAAAATACTGATAATATGTACATGCTTTGCTTATTGCTCAGAAGCTGGGGGAAGTCAGCTGTGAGCAACTATAAAAACTGCTCAAAACAGTCTACTGATTCACATTTCTTTGATTACACATTTCATGTCGACATAAGGCTGAGATATACGGTACAGTATGTAGTGGTTTGTGTTACTGATGTGTGTTTGTGTAATTAACGAATGCAGCCAGTACCTGTCCAATTAACACCAAATTAGAAACTGTCTTCATCCAGTAAATGTGCATCCTAATATGAATCCCAGTGACAGTAGAATAAGACTAATAAATAAGAATTTATTACTTAATTATAAAAGAAATAATCAGATTAAGTTACAGTATCTCTGAAAAGCAAAACCTTTGCATTGTCTGAACTATCACACCAAATGTTGAAGTTAGCCTGTGGCTCTTGGATAGCCTGACCTAACCTGCTTACAACTAGTTGATGATGTAAAATACGTTCACTTCACTTCAAGCTGCTCCTGATGAACTTGTAACATCTACAGTACTGTATATCCAACAGCTGTACATGTCAAACAATGTTATTTATTAATTTTTCAGGTGTGATAAATAGTATTTGTTTAACTTTGGTTATGCTGATTGCTACAGTATAGGTCCACTAATTTTACTAAACATTCAATATCGCCATGCACCAACAGCCCAAGTATATAGTAGTTCTGGTGGAGAAATGAGAATGTTCCCAACTGGATTAAGGGGGAACGTTTAGGAAGTCAGAGTGGCATGGCGGCACACCAGTTAGTATCGCTGCCTCACAGCACAGGGACCCTGGCTTCAATTCCCGAGGCGCTATTTAAGCGGAGTTCGTATGTTACCCCCGTGGGTATACAGTACCGAGGCCCCCATGACCAAATAAAGGCTAACCTCGATAATCATTTTAAATAATGCAGACTACAGCAAAACGACTGGCTTTGAAAAGGGAATGAACGTCCGGAAGGAGTAGTGTAACTAGCTTGAAATGCTTCTCCGGACCTCTAACTAAAAGAACTAGCAGTGTCATCGACTCCTTTCGAACTGGGATCCTATCGCACGCACGTAATTTGTGTTGTCCCAACTCTTCCGTATCTGATACTGGGCCAAGCACATCAGGGGAGAGTGCTAATGCAGTCCCCCACTACGAGAAATTATGCAGTCAAAATTCCCACATTTGGGGAATTCGCAGGGGTCAGCACAGCCAGAGTGCAATGGGCCTCGCCCTGGGTGAACCGATTTCGATTTCCATTTTTAAGAACTTTATTTTCTTTTCACAGAAAAATACAGGGCATCACAAATTAGAAAGCTTTACATTAATATACATACTTAAAACAGTATATATGATCACATTTCATTACATTTTAACACGTTACCAGTTACATAGCAACAATTTCTTCTGTTCTGGTGCAAATCACATTCTTTACTTAAACATGATAATGTTTTTCACAGCATCTTGAGATACTGTCCTATGCCCTCTATTTCCCACAGATTTTCTGCTTCCTCTCTCCACAGATCTACATACTACATCCTACATACTACATACTACATAAGACATACTGGCAGGTTAATTAGCTTCTGGGAAAACTATCTCTGGTGTGAGTATGCGTATGACTGTGTTTGTGCCCCATGATGGACTGTAATCCCATCCAGGGTGTATCCTAACTTGTGTATCCCCTTGCTTGCCAGGTTAGGCTCTGGCTCCCCCAAACCCTTGTATTGGATAAACTGGTGAGAAAATAGATGGATGGATTTAGAGTGATCATATTGTACAAGCCTTTAGCATTATAATGCATAATTTAGGCAGGGTTAATACCCCTTCTTTCAAACAGTGCCATGGGATCTTTAATGAACAAATAGTCAGATCCTCAGTTTAACATGTCATAAGAAAGATGCAACCCTGACACCACAGTGACCATGGTCACCACAAGTGGGCATTGGTTTTAAAATTCTGTTCTGAGGGAAAAGTGCCATGTACAGTACTTACCCACAAAACACCACCTGCAACGGGTATTTCCTAGGTGTCTCCTTTTGCAGTACCGACAAGCTTCTCTGAAATTACAATATCTGGACACAAACTGGTACTGTAACACTTCTTTGTTTTGCTTTTTTTTCAAATTTGGAGATTTTAGAATTATTTTAAATCCTCTAGAGAACTGATTGGCTGAAAAGTAGCTAAAGTAGGTTGACACCCAAAGAAGGCTCCACAGCCGAAACTTGTTTCTTTTTTTCTCTTTTCAACATGGAATGAACCTTTATTTGTTCCTCATGGCTGAAAGGACAGCTGTAACATAGGACCAGCAGACAAAAAAGGCCTAAAAATTGATAGAATACTGAAGATTATAAATACAATATGTGTTTAAATTACAAAATTGTTTTGTACTATATACAGTACTTGTATTATTGATTGAAATTACATGTTTACATTACCAATAGGTACAGTAGTTTTTACTAGGCTC